GGAAGGCTGAAGCGGAAGGATCGCCAGAGCCCAGCAGGGCGAGGCTGCGGTGGCCGGGAGCGGCCACTGCACTCCAGTCTGGACGACAGAGTGAGCCTCTAACAAAAAAAAAAAAAAAAAAAGTCAGTTCTTCCAACAGAAAGAATATAATACAGAAACTCAGAACTTGAAATGGTACAAACAGAGGTAAGCACAAAATTTTTTTTTTGGTCAAGGTCTCATTCTATCACCCAGGCTGGAGTGCAGTGGCATGCTCACGATCACTGCAGCCTCGACCTTCTGAGCTCAGGAGATCCTTCCACCTTAGCCTCCCAAGTAGCTGGAACTAACTATAAGCGCGTGCCCCCACACCCTGATAATTTTTTTATTTATTGAAGAGACTAAGTCTCACCAAGTTACCCAGACTGGTCTCGAACCCCTAGGCTCAGGCAATCCTCTCATCTCCACCTCCCAAAGTGCTGGGATTACAGGCATGAGTCACCATGCCCAGTTGAAAGTACAGAATTCTTAATTTTGCATTTTCATTGCTCTAAAAGACAATCATATATTTAAAGCAAAATAGTATCAATGTATTTTGTGCTTACAATATATGAAAAAGGATAATGCATGGCAAAATTAACACAAAGGCGAACAGGAAGGAATTGGGCATATATATTGTCACACAGTCTTTACATGTGAAGCTATATAACAGTATTTGAAAGCGACCATGACTAGTTAAATATGTGCACTATAAACTCTAGGGCAACCACAAAACATTTTTTCTTTTTACACAGCAAGAGCTCTAAAGTAAACATTTTTTTTTTTTTTTTTTTTGAGTTGGCGTCTCACTCCTTCGCCCAGACTGGAGTGCAGTGGTATACTCCTGGCCACCGCAGCCTCGCCCTGCTGGGCTCTGGCGATCCTTCTGCCTCAACCTTCCAAGTAGCCAGAACTACAGGCGCATGCTACCACGTTCAGCTAATTTTTTATTTATTGTACAATGAGACAAGGTCTTGCCAAGTTGCCTGGGCAGGTTTCAAACCTGTAGGCTCAGGCAATCCACTCGCCTTGGCCTCCCAAAGCACTGGGATTACAGGCTGAGCCACTGAGCCCAGCCAAATAAACATTTCTTAAAAGACATAAATATGTTTGAGAGTCAGGTGTGGCAAAAAAGATATAAATAACCATAAATATTATAAATAATTTTGGAGCCCGGCTCAGTGGCTCAGCCTGTAATCCCGCGCCTTGGGAGGCTGAGGTGAGTGGATTGCCTGAGCCTGCGGGTTCAAGACCCACCTGGGCAAATTGGTGAGACCTCATCTCTACAATAAATCAAAAAATTAGCTGGGTGTGGTAGTGCGCACCTATAGTTCCAGCTACTTGGAAGGCTGAGGCGGAAGGATCGCCGGAGCCCGGCAGGTCGAGGCTGCGGTGGCCGGGAGTGGCTACTGCACTCCAGTCTGGGCAACAGAGTGAGACTCCAACTCAAAAATAATAATAATAATAATAATTTTGGAATTTACAGAGACATAAAATAATATGCAACAAATACAAAAATTAGCAAAGAAGAAACAAGAAACAAAAAAAACCCTAAAATACATAAACATCTTCCAAAACAGTACATTTTAATCCAACTACAAATGCATTAAATGTAAATGGGGGCCAGACACAGTGGTTCACACCTGTAATCCCAGCATTTTGTGAGCCCAAGATGGGAGGATCACTTAAGCCCAGGAGTTTGAAAACTGCCTGGGCAACATGGTAAAACCTCATCTCCAAAATAAATCACAAAATTAGCTGGAGGTAGTGGTGCACACCTGTAGTCCCAGCTACTTAGAAGGCTGAGCTGGAAGGATAAACTGAGCACAACAGGTCAAGGCTGAGGCAGCCATGATGGTACCAATGCACACCAGCCTGGGTGACAAAATAAGACTCCAACTTAAAAAAAAAAAAAAAATAAACAGGCCATTGCCAGACCATTGTGGCCATTGTCCGATCATTGCTTTGCTAAGCTATGGTGTGGCCATGTGCTCTTTTAGCTATGGCCAGGCCATATTTCCTGGCTTCAGCCCCTTCTCTACCTGGGGAGGTGAATCTCCTCTTTCTCCCTCTCTCTCTAATTTACTTTCTAAATAAACTATATTTTCTAATCTTAAAAAAAGTAAATGTTCATCTTGAATCAACTACCGTAATAATTTCAACTAGTTATACTGAAAAGTTCATTGAAAAAGCACAGTGGCTCATGCCTGTAATCCCAGCACTTTGGGAGGCAGAGGCAGGAGATACACTTGAGCCCAGGAGTTTGGCACGTGCCTACGCAACACAGCAAGACCTTGTCTCTACAAAAGAAACCAAACAATTAGCTGGGCATGGTGGCACATGCCTGTAGTCCCAGCTACTCAGGAGGCTGAAGTAGAAGGATCACTGGAGACTGGGAGGTAAAGGCTGCAGTGAGCCGTGATCATGCCACTGACTCCAGCCTGGGCAGCAGAGTGAAACACCCGACTCAAAAAAAAAAATGTAAATGGTTTTAACATACCAATTAAAAGTCAGATTGTCACAATGGATTTTTTTTTTTTTTTT